CGAGGGTGTTCAGGACGTGGCCATGCGATCAAAGGCCGAGCGGATCGGCAAACTCAACCAGAAGAGGATGAACAGAATGGCCCGACAGGGAGAGGCCGACAGACACACCTCTGCATCTCTGACAAAGCACTTGGTAAGTGACGACGAGCGCCACCACAATCAACTTGTATCTATTCATCTTGCTAACCTTTTCTTTTCCTACAACAGGTTGCCGGAAAGCGCGGTATTGGCAAGACCAACCGACGATAAGCCATTTGAAAAAACTTTTGGGAGGAAAGGCTATTTTCACACCCAACTTCTTTCATATCATCGCTGGCATTTTTGTGTGTGTGTTTTTTTTTTCGGCTTCTTGTGTTTAATTTCCAGTGTTTTGAACCTTTCGCACCGATACGAGGGGAAACACTTATTGCTCAGGAGTTGGGCGTTCTTGAAGGGTGTTTACAATCCAGAAAGAAAGTTGAGTGGGCGAGAGAAAGGGGGAAATGTGAAAGTTTAGGGAGAGAGCATATCCAGATTTTTTCATTTCATTGTTTCGTTTTCCATATAAAGAAAGGAAAGAAAGATATTCGGAAATGATGTACCTTTCGAGGGAGGGGGGAATCTCCAGGCAGTCACTAGGTAGGTAGTAGTAGCTAGCAAACGGTATTAGTCACCTACGACAACGACTCATCATGATGATGAGAGAGGGAGAGGGAGAGGGAGAGGGAGAAAGAGTAAAATAATGGCTTTCGAATTTGAATTAAAAGTACAAATATACTGCTTTGATAAAAGTCCCTATATGATGTGATGAGAAAGTCTTATATATGATAAGATTTCCTCCGTTGTCGTTTGTTTTTCTTCTTCTTCTTTCTTTCTGCTTCTCGATACTTGTCCTTTACCACCTTATGTCGATGGACTAAAAAAATGATGAAAAAAAACAAGGGGGTTTTGTTTTGTTCATCATGATTATTGACATTTACCGAACCAAGAAAACAGAATAGGAAAGAAAAAACATGGTCGCTCTTCGCAAGTTTAGAAGGGGAGAAGTATCAACTCCAAAGATCTCGATAGCATGATTTAACAGACAAAAAGATTTGCAACCACTAATTTCGCTTCTTACTCTTCCGCAACGGTGATACCCTCCCTCAGACCTTCAACCTTGAGCTCCTCGCCGGTGGCGCGGCGGTAAATGTCTTTGACGTCATCTGTCGTTGTCTCAAAGTGGCTGGTGGCGTCGTAGCTCTTGGAGATGAAGATGTTGTCCTTGGTGCCGTCCTCAAGAGGCTCATAGATGGGGATAGGAGGTCCCTGTTTTTGAAAAAAAGCAAGTCAGCATTCCGGAAAAACTTGGCCGAGGCACAGGGCTGGTGAGGTAGTTGGGTTTTTCGCAGTTGGGCAAGGGTGGAATATCAACTTACCATGAACTGCTCCTCAATGGCTCCGAGGCGCTCAAGACCGGGCTGGAGCTCGAGGTGGTGGTTCGCAGCAGTCTCAGAGATGGTGGAGACAATGGCGATCCAGTAGCCCTTGGGGCAGACGTTGTGGGCGGATGAAACGCAGGCCACATAGATGTCTGTAAAAAGAAAATCGTCAGCATTGGCTTCCATTCAAGGGGGCTTTGCTTTCAAACGTCAGTCCTTACCGTTCTTTCGGCCGACCTGGGACTGGGGAATGATGAGCTGGGCAGAGTCGCTGTCGTTGGTTCCAGCAAGAGGGTGCTTGAGGATGCAGATGGCCCTCAGGACATGGCCGACAACCTTGGCCTTGGTAGGGAAGTATGAGGGGTCACCAAGGATCAGCTTGGCCTTGGTCTCAAACTTCATCTCCTCGACTCCGGTCATGGTGGCCTTGATGCCAACAGCCTTGTCGCCATCGTACAGGAGCTCATCAATGTTGGTGTTGAGCATGTAAGTACCGCCGTAGATGGCAGACAGACGAGCGAAGCCCTGGGGGAGCTCGCCAAGGCCGTACAGGGGGTAGATGTATGGGGACTTTCCATATCGAGCGACGGAGTTGCCGTACAGGCGGATGCGCTCAATGGCCTCGGGAGCCCTGCCAACGGCAGTGATGTAGTCATCAGTGAGGTACAGGGCCATGGAGTGGCCAATGAAGTCCTTGGTGGCGTCCTCGAGGCCGAACTTGTCGTAAACATCCTTCATGGTGCTGGTGTTGAAGTCAAGGCCTATCAAGGTGGAAGAAGTACAAGATTAGTCACCGATCAATGACATCCAAAAAAACGGGAAAGGGGGGGCGGCCAACCTTTGTGTGTAGCAGGGTCCTGGAGATCGAAAGTGCCAATCCACTCAATGAAGGACTTCATGCGGCGCTTTTCAAAGATGCCCATGAGAGGCGACTTGAGGGCCTCACCGGCATCTGAGGGGACCTTGGCAACGGTGGCCTTGGAGGAAGAGCCCTGCTGGACGTAGCTGCCGGCAACCTGCTTGAACTCGAGGTATCGGGTGACGTCGGTGGAGACGAGGATGTTGGTCAGCTCGCCGGATGACATGAGGAACTTGGGGACAAGGTCGATGTTCCAGTCATTGACGCGGCCATACTTCTTCCAGGGCTCCTCGCCGTCCTTGAAGTTGCCGTACTTCTTGAAGAGCTATGGGGGGTGAGTGGCGTTAGATGCGCTGTACAGATGCAATGCAAGGCAAGGCAGGATATTGCGAGTCGGGGGAATGGCAATTTACCGTCTCGATGTTTACGGAGGCAGCCTCTCTGTTGTAGCAAATCGTAGTCAGTGATCCGTGCTCTCAATTGGCGGTGATGCCACGTCGACGCAACAGAAGCCAGGGGACAGAAAAAACATACCCTCCGTAGTGGTCATTGCGGTCAATGTGGAGGACCTTGCGGCCCTTGACACTCAGGACACTTGAAGACAGATATGATGTCAGTACAGATGGCCGTGAATGCTGGGGTTTGTATTGATTCCATTGAACGTTCGTCCGCTTACCCAGAAAGGATACACTCGGTCAGGCCTGATAAAAAAAGGGGGGGTCAGGTCAGCAAGGAACAAAAGCTCATGGACAAAGTAGCTAGCTAGCAGGCAACGAGAAGAGCTTGCCGGCGATGGCAGAGCCCATTCCGTGACGATGCGGATGCCCCGAGCTGAAGCTGGAAGCTCCAGGCCGGCAAAAGCAAGCCAAGGCAGCAAACACGTACCGGTGCCCAAGACGATGACATCGTACTCCTTTGCAATCTCCTCCATGGCGTGGGTATAACAGAACGAGTTTGGGTGATTGGGTTGGAAAGAGGAGGATTCGGTTCGACGAGATTAGCCAGCAGGCAAGAAAGAGGAGGAAGAGGAGAAGAAGAAGAAGGTTGTCGGGGAGAGGAGAAAAGCTTTTGAAGAGTTGCAAAGCTTTTGGTTCTAATACGGAGAGTAAAGCCTAGAGGCTAGAGGGGTTGAAAGTGGCGGGGTTTTGGGAGCAAATCAATCGGTGAGGTGCGGAGACGAAGCGTCGAGCTGTTCTGGGCAAGGCGGCTCCACCGTTCAAATCATCAGCACGCTGGATTCCGACTAGGGGGGAGAGAGAAGGCAGAATTACAGCAGAGTTGGGATTAATTATTAGCATTGCTGTAATTTCTAGGGATCCCATTCTTATTTCTCTGCCGTGCTGTTCATTTCATTTCAGTTCATTTCATTTCAGGTTTCCTTTTTCCTTTTTCATGCCAATCACAATGAGCTGCCTCGTTCGTTACTGTACTCGAAATGACGCACCGCTCGCCAAAGTTGGTCATTCATTACCTACGAGCTGCTTGCTGCCCGTGAAATCAAATCAAATCAAATCACAACCACAACCACAACCACAATCACAAGTCGTCTGTCTGTTCCCTCTGGAAATTGCCCCGCCGTCGTAATACCTACCGTTCTCCAAATCTCCAGCTCCCCTGATCTGATCCCAAATGCTACTACCGGATGAAAACCCCGTACGAGTACGACTTGGCAGCATGTCTCACAAGAGCAGCAGCAAGTGCCGGATCTTGCATTCCACAGGCACGGCCGGGATGCAATGCAATCGGTCCAGTGACAATGGAAAGAGGATGAGAAGAGAGTAGTGGTAGCAGTGGTAGCAGTAGGAATTATCAAAAGAAGAGGGAGAAGAGGGAGAAAGAGGGAGAAATAAAGCTCCCACATCAACCCAACATCCCGTCTCCGTTTCATAAGGCGGTGTCCGTTCTCCCTCCCACCCACTCCATCATTCTCACTCTCACTCTCACTCTCACTCTCACTCGCTCTCTTTTCTCACATCTACCTAATCCATATGTACATCCTCCTGGGGCCCATCCAAAGGAACAGTACGTTAGGTAGACCAGCTCTCCACAATTCGTACCATGGAAGCTAACAGCTGGCCATCTCCGAGTACATCCATTCACCGCTGCTCCAAGCTATGCCCCATAGGTAGCATCTCCAGATCCCCAGTTAGCGCAGCATAGCTCATCAATAAAAACGGTCACCCCTGGTCAACGGCTGAATGAAACGGTCACGGACGGAGTAGCATCAGTACCAGCGCTGGTAAAAAGCCAAAATGAAGAAGGGGTTAGCGAGAGCATTACGGAGTAGAAAAGAATACAAAAAAGAAGGGGGAGAAAATAGGGGGGCCTTTTGATGAGGCGAGCTCGCTTCATTTCGTCTCTTTTCCGCCGCAACGCCCGAATGACCTGACCCAGGCCGGGCTGAAAATGAGAATGAAAATGAAAATGAAATTGATTCGACTCTAGCCTTGTTGCGTTCATCAAAGTCATACCAATAAGTCGGTATACGAGTATCATATCGTACCGGTAGTAATATACATGCCAATTGCTTCGTCGTCGGATATAGGTACACAGATTCCCCATACTTTAGTACTACACGCGGCCGGCCAGAATACCTCCCCCGTGATATCATGCTGGCCGTCGTCGAACCGCCCTCCCCCCTAGTCTCGCTGACCTTTTTTTCTTTTCTTTCCTTTTTCTTTCCATGATTGACCTCGGTATTCTCTTCTTTAGTTTTGATCGCCCATCTCCTAGCCTCGCTTCTACCTTGTAGGCTCCTTCAACTCTTTGCCTGCTTCTTCTGCGGCAGGAATATCATCGTATCCCTCTTCATATGCCGACGGTGTGTAAACCTGACCTTCTCCTCCTTCCAGGTTGATCTCGGGATCCGACTTGGCAACCTCGACGGCATCCTGCCAGGTATAGAATCGCTCCGTCAGGGCATGTCTGATCGCCCTCATCGTCTTTGTAACCTGTCACACGACACACAAATTAGTATAAACAGAACTCAAGAATCCCAAGCTCGCAAAGGGGTTGCTCACCTCCTCATCCCGTGAATCAATCTCCCGCTCTCCAAACCCAAGCTTCCCCCTCAACAGCTCCGCCCTCGCCGTAGCAAGCATGTTCCTCTCCTTGCAGCACTTCCACCACAGAGCATGTAAATCTTCCCACGACTTCCGCCGCAGCTCCTCCACCTCCCACGCTCGCCCGTGCTCCTCCGTCTCCTTGGGCGTCAGCAGGAGCTTCCCCGGCGCGGGGAAGAACCCCCACAGTCCGTGGCTCTCGTCGACCTCGATCTTGGGCGTGAACTCGACGGGCTTCGGCAGCGGCATGTTGGACATGGACAGCGGCTCTCGCGGGCCCGATCCGTAGAGGCTGCTGACGCCTCGTCGCTTGTTGCTGTCCTTTGTCTTGCGCTTGCATTGCGCCGCCGTCGTCGAGAAACTTGCTACCCGCGGGAAAAGGCTTGATGACGGGCCCTTCTGGAGAGACAGGCCCAGCCTTGAGGCGCAGCCTGATGAGGCTCGAAACGCATTGGGCGCTGCTGCAATTGACATTGTGGCGACGACAGAGAGGGAGAGGAGAAGAAGACGAAACGTCAAATCATCAATCCATCAGCATCATTCGCTTAGATCTTCAGACGAGGCACAAAATTTGGGAAATCGGCTGCCTGTATCTCGTCATCCCATTGGCTAGCCTGGCGCACTTTCTGCCCCGCCTTGTGGTTGGATTTGACTGCTTAGTCATCCACGTAAAGCCGCAATAGTCTTGTGTACTAGTAGGTAGGTAGTAGAGCAACATCCACACCATTATTTGCTTTGGGTACTGTACCTACCAAGGTATGAGATGAATGAATTGATACCGTGTACTATATATGCCGGTTCAAAGTTGTCAATTCTCAATTCTAGCATTCGTACCTCTCGTTGACTATCCATGACCCCTCGAAACTCATTCAAAGATCTGGAGCACGGGTTCCAATGGCGCTGTAAACGACGGAAAACGACTTGACATCCAATTGCAGTCTCGTGCAATACAGGCACCTGTACTCCATAAACACGCACTACTAGGTATAGTAATGAATACACGACTTAAACTTTGACCCCTTCTCAACAAACCTGCTCAGTGGCTTCTCATATTATTTCAATGCTATGGACCATCTCCGCAACATGTGAATGCTCCAGTGCCTAAAAATAACACTATGCTCCAGGTTACCCCGTACATTAACCAATGCTCACTTCATATCCTGCCGCCCGCGGCGCTTTAGGACAGCCACAAGATTGAAACATGCATATTCAGCTGCATGAGGGGGTGAAGGCATCAATTATTTCTCATGCTAGGAACCGCAGCTCAGAAGCTAATTTCATTTAGGATTTCCCAGCGGAAAGCAAGCAAACAAGCAAGGTTCTGATATTTGCGATAGGCGTAGTTTCTCCGTCATTTCGGCCCAGGTGACTCCCCAATGTACTGTACTTGAGCAGGATAAAGGACCCGACGCCACACGAAAAGGCCAGCAAAGCATTCAGGGCAATCATCTTACCGCGGTGTTTCTGTCTCATGACGGCAATATTCCAGGGGCAGGCCAGGCAAACAAGTGTTTGAGCCGAGATATTCTCCGGAAGCCGCTCCCCGTTTCTGCGCTAGCAAGGCAAGGAGGTCAGTACAGTTATTAGCAACACTACACGCGCGAGTATAGTACCTTGTATGTACAAGCAATTACGAACCCGTAGCACGAATACCAGCATACCAAGTTTGATTCTGTCTGCACACGCATGCGTCCATCTCATCCCTTGACCGGGTGGCATCGTACGTGTCTGCGATTGGTGATGCGTGCAGGGACATGCAGCAATACCCCTCCAATATTCAGACACGCGCCGGAGTACAGTGTCGACCGTCTCCTCGAATCATATCCCATGCGCTCACCGACAGTGCCTTGTGCGGGAACAATCTCACAAAAGACACGGCTGAGACTTCTCATTATCAACGTTCTGTGACATCACGGGCAGAAGGCTTGCAAAGTCACAAGGCGGTTTTTCTGACCAGCATGCAATGGAACCCTACCGAGAGGCAAGGTTGATAACGCCCCTCTCACGCCACCAGACAAGTCCTTCCCGGGCCAATAATGCCGACCGAGCTTGTCTCATCTTGCGACCCAACGTAGGTACAAGTAGTCCATGTCTTTGTTTACAGACAAAACTCGTAGTCGAACATGTCTCTCTCGAGTCGACCGGACACTCTACCCCGGCCCTGGTCTCACCGGTCGTATGGTATGTCCTTGCAGGAAAAACGCAACAAAAAAGGCAAGATCCAATAAACAAGGCCCACCGATTATGCGTCGTGCAAGCAGTCAGTCCGTGTTACTAGATACTGTAAGCAAGGAGGCAGAGAGAGAGAGAGAGAGAGAGCGAGAAACCCGAGACCATCAAGAGAGCCCGAAGCAATGCAGCTTGCCGGCCTCCATCAAGACACCGTCATTGCTTAGGTCCAAGGACACCGATGCGTGCACTGACATGGCATGATGTGAAAAGAGACATGGCGGTGCCTCCGAGCTGCCCAGGCACTGGCCGGCCGGGTTCCCGCGATGCATGGCGTACGACAGCCGCATTCACCGGGATCCTGTATCCACGCACATACTCGGGGCCGTTGTCTTGAATCCGACTGGTGCACGTATCACTGAGGCGTTCGTATATCAAGGCAGAAGGAGCAGGGGGGAAGACTGAACGAGGAAACAGAGCGAGAAGAGAGAAAACAAAGACACCCGGAAAGCGTTGGGACCCTTCCGGCGCCAGGAGGAGCACAGCAAACACAGCCCGTCGTACCCTTGAAATGTGCGCCAACGCTGGTTGAATCTCGTCGTTGTTTGCTCATCACTCCAAAGCAGCGCCATGTCAGCCAAGCAAGGGCAATTGATGCAGTTGTACGAGTACCAAGCACCGCCGGGACGCAATGTAAAGACGTGGAGTGCGGTGGCATACTCGTAGCATTGGACTCGGCGCGTGGATCGATGCCGGCTATCGGTTTCACGTAGCATTGGGGTCCGTGTCGGGGCAGCTCTGGCCCGGGGAGAGACTCCAAACAGTGATGTGGACACACACATGCCCGCTGCCTATCTGGATCTCCCCATTTTTGCGTCTTCCGGGCTCTGGGAGGAGCAACGTATATTGGCACTTGTATGCCGGATAAGCCTGCATACCGGGCGTCCTCCCCTTCCTTTTTCCTTCTGTCTTGTTTCCCCTTTCACTCAAGTCCCCATTCAGCCCAGATGGAGTACATGGCGCAAGGTCAGCGGACTGTCCCGCAACGAAGGAAGCTTGAGACTCGTACTAGCATCGGGAAGTATACCAAGTGCCGGGGTGGAGTAGGTAGTTCTATGTAAAGGCAATTCGTACGAGTACGAGCTTCTTGAACGTGTATATCCGTGCAACGGCTTTGATGCTTTTGGCCCCACGTTCCCGAGATGACGCCTATCTGAGCCACAGGTATAAGTGGCACACCCAACAGACGCCAAATAAAAAAAGAAAGAAAGAAATACAAGACAGATTGCAGGGGCTCTGAAGTACTGGAAGGCAATCAAGCTGGTACTCCAACAGTCGATGAGAACCAGCTCCGTAAGGATGACGTGTCTCACGTCAATTTTACCATTGATTTGACGCCAACGGGACAGAAGAGTAGAGGTCACGCAAAACCCAGATAGCTGACTCAAGGCCTCCCTATTTGAGGTAGCGCAGGACGGCGTGGCAGAGGAGTTTCCATTCCGCCCTGCGTGGCTGGTTACTACCTCCAGTGGTGCTGTGATTCACAAATATTAATTCTTTTTTTTTCTTTTCCCTGCATGTGGCTGGCGGTGTCCAGAAAGGCCCCGCTTTTCATTGAGAAGACGAAGTTGCAAGTAAATTACCCGTACAAGTAGGGAGTTGTTGCAAGGACATTGTACTCGTAGCACTTGCTGGCAGAGCGGAATAAAAAGAAAGAAACTTGCTGCCGTGCAGCCAAAGCATTGGGAATCAAAGCTGAAGCGTACAAGTATTCCGAGTCGAGACAAGTTGCGTGCTCTTCGGACAAATGAATGACGCCCCTTTGGCGACGTGTCTCAGCCATGTATTGCCAATGCATCGGTACCTAGCGACTACAAGCACGTCTCCATTTCGCCGCAGCTGCCGCTCCATCAGGTATCTGATCCAGCGTGGGGGTCTTTTCGTAGAAAGGCCACTTGGCGGTACTAAACGATTCCTGCAAACCCGACTGGTCAGAATAGGTGCTGTGAGGGGTCGGACAAGCTGGCCCCCCCCTTTCTCCTTCGTACCACAAGTCCTTCGCACGTACGGAGAACCTGGCAGTACCTTGGGCATGAAGCGGTCCGCATCTCGGTGGCAAGTAGGGTATCCATGTAGTACTTGTTAGCACGAAGCCCTCTTCATCCATGGGGGTTGCCAGCCTGGGGGTGTTGAGTGGTCCGAAAGCCCAGCCATCCATCCATCTCCGTCCAAGAACAGCAACACACCTAATACGAATGCAAGCCCTATCCTCTTCTTGGTGCCTGATTTGCATAACTGAATGCCAAGGGTTTGATGTGACGTCTGGGCCATACTCCCACCAGTCACCCAGTGGTCACCCTGGGCCTAGAGAAGCTGCTCTTGTGACCGCACGGGTGTAGTGCAATGCTTAAGAATAGCACATGGTGAGCTGACACGAGTGGTAGCTGCTCAGTGCCCTCTCCCAGGCAGCAGGATTAAGGGAAAAAAAACCCACCCCCTCTTCCCCTTCTGGTTTCCTTCGTTGAGAATACAACTAGGGCAACAAGTGCTCTGTACTCCGTGACCAGCATCACTACCCAGTAGGTAGTACCGCTACTACACGCCTGTATGTATATTCCCGCTTTCGCCGGCGCTAGTAGGTTCATTGTTGTAAACGCACGGCGTCTTGTTCCATACAAGGGGACCGCGGCTTTCGCTTTTCACTGCGTGTTAGGTAATCTGAATAGCCTAGCAATAGCCTGATATGTCGGTTCCATTCGGCAAACTTCTGAGAAAAGCCCTGGTCCCACTCGGCGCTTGTGCTAGCAAACCAAAGCATGGATGCCGGAGCTAGATGGACATGGGGCCCAGAACGAAGACTCGAGTGCTGAATCGGAGTTTAGGCCCGTCGGCAAAAATGGGGAAGGTGTATTCGTAATATGCCAGTGTATCGTGTACATGTCCCTCGCAACTTGGACAAGCATACTGTGCCAGTCAGTACAGGCCAACCAACTGATCCTAACAACCACACCATGACACTTTGCGTGCGATGCAACATCTTACTCGGATGGCTAATGGAGAGGGAGGCACTTCGTATCAAGTGACATATTCGATTCTCGAATAACACGTTTGTTGTTTCCAGCTCCTTTCCCCCCAAAAGCTCTTGCTGGTTCACCGTCACCGTCATCGTACTGGTACTTGTACTAGTGACCAGTGGCTCTTTGTCTCTGCTTTACTCTACCTCGCACGCAAGAGTGCGGCGGCAGAGTTTCGACTGTTGCCAGCCTTGAGTGCTTTATTTGTGGTCAGCATCATGGCATGGCGTG